CTGCGGAATAACAACATACGACAATAAAAGAGCCACCCTTCTTTGAATCCCCAGCTGTGATCATGCAGCTGTGAGCTCAATGCAAGCAGGTTTAGTGAGCACGATCTCCACGTATGTAGAGGTGGGTCGTTGCTGTATACTCTTCCTTCTTAGAAGGGTATAGCAAGGATTGAGCGTGTTGGCGGTGTGCATGGGTTGATAAGCGTCAAGCCTAAACCTTTCTGCAAGCTGACTATCAATAGTCCAACCAAAGAGCGCTTTGAAGATTCCATTGTCTCTGGAATCAGCCATCAGGTGAGAGCAATGTCAATCTGTGACAAAGTCCAAAGTTTGAATGCTAGAGCTCATGAACCGCATGATACTGCCGACAGAAGTGCCACATCAGCAGTCGCCTTTAAGAGCCACAACAACCTTTAGACGGCGCGTTAGACAGGCAACGGAAGGTTACACGATCTACCCGATGTTTTTTTTTGGAGGATTAATGGAGGCATCAGTTACAGTAGACATTCAACTTCTTCCTTCTTTCTATTTCATCAGGAAGGCAGCAAATAATCTTTCTATTACGTTCGGTCAGGTGAGATATTTTCGTAAAGAAACACGGATGAATTGATGTGGTGCCCGTTTGGATTTTTTGCCAAATTAGGCTTGTGAAAAGAATACATTTTGTAGCCGTTGATCGTTGATCGTCGCCATGTGACAGAAATTTCTGGTGGATGCTGTGTTGAACTCTATTTACATTTCACGCCTACAATTGATGGTCCTATCCAGAATCCAGAAAGTTGAATTGGAATCAAGCCGTAGCCTTGCATCATGCAAAGAATCTAAAGTAACCGAGATTGTATTCAAGGAAAGTTGGTAGAAAAGAATGTACTATAGAAATGATCGGTAGGTGCTCTATGATGATTAGTGATGACGCTCCTAAGCTCACCACTGTGGTCTCAGATTCGACTCGTCTCTTGTCCTCAAGCCCTGATGCCGCTTCGTGAAGCTTTCTTTCCTCAGCTTATCATCTGACTGCTTATAATATTAGCATCGTAATGACCTCAGAGGTAGCAGGTAGCGGGTGTATACATCTGAGGTCAATTCCGCTGTGCCACCTAACTCTGTATACTGTTGTATGTGTTGCCATGTGATGAGCTCGAACACCAAACTGTTTGGTGAACTATATTACAAAGGGCTACAACATATTCAACAATGACATTAACTATAAATTGATGAAACCAGAGGCAGTACTCTATCCCTTTTGTGTTTAGCTAGAACTTAAATAGAGCCGTATTGTCTGTTCAGTGATGTGCCATCATTTATCCTGCTTTCTTCTTGAAGCTACTGCCTTTTCACTGATGTCAATGTTCAGTTGCACAACTATCAGCGCTGAATATTTCAGCTATGCATTTTCACCGTTAGATCAGCTTGTTGCAGCTGTATTTCGGGCAACGCCTCTCATCTCCATGAAAGCTAGTTTTAAGTCTCTATGCAGGTAATTATGCAAATCATGCTCATCAAATACGTACCATATGTGATAATACGCCATAGCGTAGCTGGCTATCTCAGGCGCATTCCTGTACCATCATCAGTGAATGGATATCTAAAGGCAGTTTTGCTGCCATCAATCATAAGATATGGGCTATGCAAATTTTTCAGCCCACATCATCTACCCTTAAGACAGTTCGCTTATCCACTTGTGAAACGTCTGGACATTGCTTTGCAATTATCTGGACAATGATGTCAACAACATCTAGGCTCGCGACTTATTTTGGCGCTCTCTAATGTACTGGAGCAAAAATGCCATCGCGGTATAATTATTTTCTTCGATGCAGCATATTTTGGAGCCGTAATAAACACGAGTTGTGGAAGGATCATCTACTGGTTTTAAAGTTAGCGGTAATATTTTAAATCCATACTCATCTAATAGGTAGGTTTCGATCGAGATTTGTCAACATCAAGCATTCATTTTGCTCATAATAACGATACTTAGTAATTCGACAACAACAAGATTTGATAACTGCTGACGATTTAGCTGTCGAACATTCGGTTTACGTTTTGGTTTGATGGGAATTCCATCATGATTTCTAGCCTACAAAGGCGAGCACATGCTTATCTCAAAGTCGCTTGAAAATTAGCAGTCACAATCATCGACTACGAATAAATCAGTTTATCTATGTATAGCGATTTGATATAGCTTACAATCCGGTATACCGGTGCAATGAACCAAAATTGCCATTTCTTGCAGAATAGGTCACTCATACATTTATTTGCAAGGACACGGCCATGCGCTCCGCATGAAGTGCTTTACAATATTGTATAGAATATGGCAAAAGCGAAGTGAATAATATAATGTATGATACTTAGTTCGCAACTCTGTGCTACCTATTGGTAACCTGACGTATCTAGACCAATAAACGGCTACCATTTTGCCTGTAATCATATGCAAAACCATGCCAGCAAGTGTGACCGTTACCGTAATCTCTACAACGCCATCCAAACGCAATTAGCGGTGTAATCTCAACGCTCTCACTTACCGCTAATCTTAAGTGTGATCTGTCGCTGGCTTGTTCTTGATATCCGGTGCCTCGCGCAGACTTTGAACATTTTGGTTTCGATTTCTTCGTCAGCATGTCTGCAAGTTGGTCTAGTATCAATGAAGTCAACCCATTTGAACGTTCTTTCAAAAGCGTGGTGCCTGGTGTCCACGTAGATTGTGAGAGTGTGGTAGCCTGTATTGCTTGCGAAAGGTATAACACCTTGGTTGTCTTCCCATATTCGCGAGACTATTTTGTGACCCATTCCCGTCAGCATTGCGCGCGTCTAATAAATTTCTTGTGTTCATAGCTGAGTCCATGTACTCAGCTTATGCGTAGCTCAGTGCGATGTACCTTGGTACCTAGACTTGAATACAATCGGAACATTACCTATATAGATCAAACTCCTGATACTGAGCGTCTGTCATCAGTGTTACTACCTCAATCTGCATTTATAGGAGCTTCGACCACCACCTTTCCAGTTTCACCTTAGTAGATGATTCCGTGATGACTAGTAGACTTAAAATGGCGTTGTACACGAATTGCGGCGTTACAATGTTGTAACCCGGGATTTTTGATTAAACAAGACAGATGTGGGTCGACAAATGCGATATCCAGATAGTGGTTGCAATATAGAGAACACAGCCAATATGAGAGCGGTATGGTCTCGAGCGCATCTCAAAACGCCCCGAATTCTGTACTTGAAGACAATCTGAGTCAGGACGAACACGGAATGTTGACATGCTGGGCGTTTTTCTGGACATATCGCTTAACTACATCGTCAATCTAGTGTGTCTGTTCGATCCATCAAGTTGCCGCTGTTTATTCGTGGTCGATTTCCATGCCCGCGATGAATTTCACCATGCCGAGATTCCCTATCTTACAAACACTCTTTAACATCCCATTGACTTCTATAGTTCGGCCACCTCGTCTTGGTTGCAATGATTTATTCATCGACACACAGACATACGTGCACAAACCCTTCTTCCGATTTCTTCACGTAGATGCATTGGCCCGCTTCACAGCTTTTGAATCCATTCTTCTGAAGACGTGGTCAATTTTCTTGCATAAGGCACCTGCAGCTTGCTCGAGTCCATATATGGTCATGTTTACCTGACACGCGGATTCTTGAGCTTACTTGACACCTAGCGAAATCACCACGGCAATACGGTTTGACGGTGGCAACGGCCGCACAAACTGTCAGTACAACTCAAATTGAGTTCATGCTGGCCACTGGGGAGGAAATCCACGTCGGTTTTCTTTTTAGATCCCAAACCTACCAATCATGCCTTGTTACTCGCCACACAGCGATTTCGGTCCCATTTCTTAGCAACGACCCAACGGCACACAATCGTACGCTTAATAGATCCCCATGGAGCATTTTTGCACACTTTGGGGATGGTGGGCCGTTACTTCCTTTCAAATTTTCTTTGCTTTCTGATTTGTTCGCCAACATCAACATAAGTCCAAAAGCACGCCTTGAGCATTTGATTCGAGGTTGAAACAGCAATTGGACTTTCTGCAGCATTGCAGCAGTATATCAGGAGACCAATCGATCTTCCTGTTCGTCTTATGCTGAAGCATTGTACCATGTTAGCTCGGATCGCAAAGAGGAGTTTTTTGGAGCACATTAAACCTTCAATGATTAATATCGGGCGGCTCCTACTCCAGTTGAACGTCTAAAAAGTCGCTCATAGACTCATCCTGATCTTGCTAGCGTGTTGTCCCCCCACTTGCTGCGCCTTCATCGTAGTTCTTTGTTATATCTTTTGACTAATTTTGTAAACGCCCACTCACCTGATTTCACCGACCGTGATTTACTGTTATCCAAATCGTATACACAACATCCCTTGGTGTCTTCCAGCGCTAGTGGCTGCGAGAAATTGTTCGAACATGTGGATGCCTGCTGCTTGTCTCACGACCGAGTATAGGCAGGACGCAATGCTAAGCTCTCTTGCTTCTGTAAGTCAACCTGCGGTATAGCGAGAGTGTCTCGTTCACCTCCGAGACTTTCAAGCAAACGCGCGTCGCGGCATCTCGTTCATCTGCACGTCGGATGATGCCTTGACGAGGCTAGGCAACTTGCAGCTTACGGTATGTGGTATCAGTGTAACGACCCATAAGTATTTAAAGTACGACATACTGTACTTTGTGGATTTGACCCGCCTTCAGAAAGACGTTACCGATCAAGCGATCTATGTCTGGTTCGTTTAAAGAGGAGCCAGACCTGTTCTGATTACTCCTACGCACGTGCATGGTCAACTGAAGTCCAGGGGACGCACTGTAAACTTTAACAGTGTGGGTTGTCCTGCCGGGCTTTTTGAATTGACAGGAGAACTTCTTTAAGAGATAGATTTCGACTCGAAATAAAGCCATGCTTTGTGCAGCGCAGGCCACGCAAAATTAATCGGGTAAAGCCGCCATCCTTACGGCCTCATCCTCGTCGATCGTCTGACACGTCCGATGTTAGCATGAATGGAAGAGATGTCGCCGCCGAGCACGAAGTTGCAACGCATGAACCGAGCGAGCCAAAAGTTAGGACACGGGTTGCAATAGACCTAGACGATCCATCTGCTCATGCTATGCTCACCGGTCGTGCCTCTACTCGTACTGGGACAAAGGTGAAGCGCATGATCGTTTATGCCGTCTAAGAAGGTACACTAAACTTGTTCAGCATTCGCAATACGGGATCATCGATCGCGACGGCGGCTAGTACATGAAGCCAACCGGCCTCGTTGTCTGCGAGTTGGAGTGTGAAGTTGAGGACCCCTATTCGCTGGTGTACCATTTTCCTGTATCGCCAAATTGCTATGATATTCTTCGCGATAAGGGTTTTGACTCAACCCTTCCACCTGATATTGATCTGCAAGCTGGTGAGCAAGACGGAGATGACGATGGAATGGTCACCCCAGTATCTGGCTTTACTGCTTCGTCTGACCTTTTACCGTATGAGGAGGAGGCTCGTACACTAAAACGTGTTAGTACCCTCGCTCATGAAGTAGAACAAGTTTTGATAGAAGAAGTTCGACACGTCATCGATGAGTTCATCGAACAAGATGTTCTCAGAATGACAAGTCACGAAGACGTCCTAGTCGCTATCCAAGCATAACCTGCTTTTTTCCTACGCATCTTTCTTCAGCTTCCTTCCAATCGTCGTGACCGACTATTTCGAGCGCACGCGGTGTATCGTGCAATCAGTGCGGAGCCTGTCGCTGACCGTGATCTTAAGATTCCCGTCATCTTTTGAATGAATGCTATGGCATAGACTCAGTTAAGACTGCCATCTTCTTTGAGCGTATGTTTCCAGAACGTGAAGTCCAAGCCGCTGCGGTGCACAGTGCTACCAGTTTCTTGTTCCTGATGGTGTTTGGGTAGGTATATATATTGATCCAGTGAGAATTCAAGCTCCTCTTGGACCATTAATGCCCCCAAACGTCTTTGTCACTCCCCGTTTCTGCTTTGTAGTGATATCAACCTTTTCTGTTTGGCTCGAACTGATACGGCGGGGATATTTATTAACGACATTCGTACGCCCCAGCTTGCGGCACTTGATGTTTTAGCAACTACTTTGTTGCCTTAAATGATGGCTAAAAGGCCCTCTAGAGAAACTTGGACAATTAATGAAGTCTCTCTGAACGCGAATGGGTTAGACACAGCCAAACTAGAGACGTATCATCGACTTCTATCAGAACATCAACTGGTCGCGTTCCAAGAGACAAAATTCAACAAAGAAGGATCACTGCAGACCAGAAAACATTCTATTCACGTTTCTGACTCAGGAGCGCGCTACTTTCGGTCCGACACCACGTCTCCTGTCTTCAACGAGAGACATGGCGTAGGCCTGATATTGTCATCAGCCTCACCATTTAGCGAAGTTGAAGACCTCACTAGTCCAGTCTACAAGTACCAATTAAGCAATTGATGTTTATTTATCAAGTCCGCGCTTGGTGTACATACATGTTCTTTACGCATTTGATGATCCCCCATGATTTTCGTGTACTTCCCACTCAATTAATTTTCAGCGACTCGGATGAAGACGGCCAAGCGGCTCACACTCTAATGGGTGACTTCAACGTTCCAATGGACTCTTTTCTGGATTAAACTGCACCTTCTTAGTTGCACCCCGGCACTAGTAGAGAGGAACTAGGTGATTGGCTTGAAACGTTGGGCTTGATCGACGCATGGCGCTTTTTGCATCGAAATACAAATGACTACACAGTCCCAACACGCAAACACCGACTGGATTACTGTTTCTTACAGTGGATCTAGTACAAAATCATCTCGCTGAGATCAAACATATAAGAATTCAAAAGTGGCATAGCGAGGACCACATATTGGTGGGGTGTCGGCTACAAGCGAAATTCATGCCGACAATGGCGGTACCCCACATGGCTTTTACGAGATCCGGATGTCATCACATACCTTACCTCGTCGGGGGAGCGACTGGCGGCACATATTCGGAATTTTGAAGGCGCTAACCCAGGGAGTCGTCTAAATGAACACAAACGTTCCGATTGTATTTATCTTCGCAGTCGATGGGTTGAACTTTGACAAGCTGATGCACAGGAAATGGCCATAAGAGTCGCCGCAGTGAACAATTTCATTGACCTCTTTAATCCGGATCCGATCGACTGCAACAAGGCAGCACTACAACAAGCAAAAGCCGATCTGAGGGCTTACAAGGAAACGATTCAAGAGAGAAGGGCAATGAGAAGTTATCAGCCGACTTACATCTTAGTGAGCTAGCAACAAAGCACTTATTTCGGCCACCAAAACAGGAATGTCTCAGGTTTCCCATCATCGAAATTTATCGTGGCGATGGGTCGAGGAGCGACGACCCGGTGAACATCGAGGCGGGACCCCGCAGGTCTTGGGGGCAGCTACTCCAGTCAACTTTACCGGATCTTCGTCATCTACGGGATGCTTCATATCGGCCACTTCGCTTAGCGCGAATGCTACGTCAAACAGTGGCAAAACTTACGCCAGCACAACAGCGTCTGCTCGACGCGCCCATCACGGCAAACGACTTATACTAAGCGATCGTGAAATCTTCCAATGGAAAAGCGTCGGGCCCCGACGGATTACCGATTGAGTACTACAAGATTTTGCCAGGTCTGTGGGCTCGCATATACGAGGTTATACACGACAATCAGTTATCAAAGGGAAAGATGACTAAGTTTTAACGACGGGCGCACCTTTCGCTGCTTTACAAGATTGGTGATAGATTGCAGCCTTGGAACCACCGGATATTGACGCTGCTGAACCATGATAAGCTTGATCTTAAGATTCTGGCGCGGAGGCAGAGACTTGTGCTTCCTTCGCTGATACATGACGATCAAGGTGGATTTGTACCTAGTAGATCTATTCGTCAGTCTCTTCGTCGTGTCAAGATTAAGCGTCAAGGTAGTTGAAAACAGGTGGTAGCATCACAGCAACCTCAAACAACATGTGACATGATATCACATTCGCTTCCAAGACTTACAAGAATTATGCAAACACACTTACCCGAACGCTTGTGCTGTTCTTATCGATTTTGCCAAGGCCTTCGATAGTGAACTATAGCTAGCGTTGGACATGGTACTGCATCACTTCGGATTTGGTACGACTTTTTGAGCCTGGATCAAACCGTTCTACAACCAGACTTTTGCTAGTTTGCTGTTGAACAACTCACCTGAAGACCTCTTGAATTGGTAGCCTGAGTACGACAAGGCGACCCACTATCTCCGGGACCGTTTGTGCTGTTCGTCGAACCACTCATGAATTACTTACGTGATTGAGTCTCGATGTGAGGATTTGATAATGACAATGGGTCATCCCCACATTTGGTACTAGCTTTTGCAGATGACTGCACCAATCTACTAGCTGATGTTGATTGCGCACCTGAATTCCTGGATGTGGTACAAGATTACGCATTTGCATCAGGACTACGCCTAAACATGAATAATGCGTGCGTCATGCCATTTATGCACCAAGTCGACTTGTCTCAATTGGCCAGACTACGTGCTTCAACGGATCTCAAAGTGTTACAACCGTCGGACACAGTGGTACTATAAGGTATACTAGTGGTTAGTAAATTACGAAGACGATGCGCCATTTGGAACTACCGTGCACGTACAGTACGGGGCAAAGTGGTGCTAGTACAAACATCATTTTACCACTACTTTGGTACACAGCCAGCGTGAAGTCTATCGCACCGAATCTTCTGAAAACTGTAGACGTCATCATCCGCAACTTTTTCCACTCAAAGGATACGGATAGTGATTCCGCAGTTGCCGACGAAATCTGCTAAAGAATGGATTTACACATGTGTTTCGAAAGGTGGACTAGGACTGACTTCTGTCAAAGCCTTTACCCACGGTATGCACCTCAATACTTGAAGGGATGGAATTGCCTCGACTTGTAAATTGAATGCTTATTTTCTCCGGCACTTTAACCCCTTACAAGATCATTAGGCTCCCTTGGTACAGGCTTCGATGTTATATGAAGGGAGGGCAATGGATAGGACTGCCTGATTAGCTGGTAAAAGTTCATTCAGGACCAGGCACATTGACCAAAGTGTTTTCGGTGCGAGAGACTAGGTAAACATTGTAAGTCTACTTTACGTGTATGGGCGGAACTGCACACTTCTCACGGCTCCACAGATTGTAAAGAGTTTGTGCAAGTCATGACGTTATAATACAATGTCTACTTTACGTTTGGCACGGATGGAACCCCATTGGCCGAAGTCAGAAGAAGCAATTGCTTTCTAGAGGCATTAAGGCTCTCCCGCCTACAAGACTTTGTGAAACGCTATGCCTGTTTTGCGACACAAGATCTATTAAACAGTTTACTTCAGGTAAATCAACTCGCCAGACCTGCGTCGCAAACACGATTGGTGTCCGATACAATTTCGCGACTTAACTCGATCTGCCCCCATTCACATTGAATGTGCAACTCATGGCTGGAGCCTTGAAGACAAAATGGTCATAGACATGTTGAACCGGAACTTTGTTAAACTATTATTGAAGACTAAGTTGGGAACACCGCTTCCAAAGCTCCAAGTTGACAAGATTCGGATTGCGGGCTTAACTCCAACGGACGATACTTGGCGTTTTGAGTACCAATTGGATCGTCATGTACTCTCAGTATGCTCCTATCTCAAGTTCCGTCTTCAACACAATGCATTAGGATTTCGATACACGTTTCGATGGAGAACGGAAGTCATATCAAACAATACATGTGTACATGAATGCACAAATGTTGAAGATTCCCAGCATGTTTTTTGGGCTTGCAGAGTGGCAATACATCAGTGGGAAGTCTTTCTTCGACCTTTTAACAAGTTTATTATTGGAAGTTTCGACTGGTCTATGATTGACTTCCCCCACTCTATTCGACTTCAACATACGACTATACAACTCTATGGAACTTACGCATTTTATGCAATCTTAACTATTGTGAAATGTTGTGTACTTTGCGCATTATAGCTTTATCTAAACAAACGACTTTACAACACAACATTGACTTCCCAAGACTTTGTACATATCATGCCTTTGCATACATCAAGCTGCACTTTCGGCAGTTTCAATCGCGTGCAACATTAAAAGGCAAACTAACATGGATACAATAGGCACATGAAGTGGAAAATAGTCTTCACGCGCAACATAATGCATTTGTGACATTGACTACAACCGCTTCAGCCGTTCAGCACTCTATTGCTGTAACAATGGATAACTTCACGATGACACCTGCAACTACAACTACTTCTAAATGATCTACAATACAAGCTATACCGTTAACAGGGGTGTCAACGTCAACTTTAACAGCTTCGGGAATTGAGCCCGTCAAACCGGTCTCCCGGGTGGACATCCAGTACGGCTGCTAGAAAGGTCAGGCTAGGCCTGACGGGGTGATAACAGAACAAGGACGAGCAAGCGCGGATCCAAGTTGGATAAGGGAATTTATGGGACGCCCCGCTACTGACCGGCTTCCAATAGAGGTTCTCCGCATTGTACAACAGTTCAACTTTGCGCCGACTCTCTCCACTGCTAGTTACAGTTTCGAGCAACCCACCGTAATAGGCCGCACCGGTCAAAGTCTTCATGCTGGACAATGTAAAGGTGTTACACGTTC